ATTTTCACGTTTTGTAGGTTGAACCATCTCAGCTGTTGAGACCAGAGAAAATCTCCAAACTTCTAACAGCCAACAAAAGCCTGTTTACTGAGGTAGTAAAAGATGGGGCCCTAAGCTAAGTAGTACAGAAAACAAATGCAGTCCTTCAAGTTCTTTTAGAAGACATTTTGATGGATTCAACCAAAAAGGTCAAGGTAGTTCAACTTTCAACATAAAATCAAGGTTAATTTCAACTTTGTCTTTCGCATCAGTTGGCATTTTAGACACCTCATTGATTTGTAATGACGCAACTTCATTTGATTGGTTAGTTGTTTTGCTTTACCCTCTTTAACTAACTTTTATTTTACAGCTCTTTCATATTAGTAGGGTGACTTCACATGACATTATTAGAAGAAAGTGCGTTCCTTAATCGTACGTCATTCTTAGCATCTTGCTTTGTTGAAGGTAGCGTAAAGCATGAACTCAATTTATCGAAAATAGTCAAATTGACTGACGTACTGAAATCAGTCAAGCAAAAAGAGAGAAGAGGCAAAGGATTAATAATGGTTATTTAAATAGATTTTTCTCTCTCTCTCAATTCGAAACAATACTCCACATGATAAAATGCTGAAAGAGATACAGAACATATGTCTATCATATGCGGAAATATATACATTAAGCTTTTCTCATACTCATCACGCTATGTTTACAGATTCAAGACTTCATCATCGAAAACATTGTCTCACTGCAAGTGAACAGTATCCCAGACCTTTTGCAAAGTTCCTCCGTGATAGGGTCTGCTATTCAAGAAATAGTAAAAATGTTTCTCAAGTCACTGGTGAGTGAATATTAAGATGAATACCGAAAACGCCCGCTTATAAACCTCCCTCTCCGCTTATAAACCTCCCTCCCCGCTTATAAACCTCCCTCCCCGCTTATAACCCCCCCCGGTTATAGGGCCATCTACATATAATTAAAAAAATACATCGGGTTATTAACCCCCACCCGAATACAAGCTCCCCCTCCCCCTACAGCTTTCCTTAATTTGAATTCGTTTTATTATGATGTTTAAAAGCTTAACACAAGCAGTCAACACACCTATAGCTCGTTTCGAAACGTTTTATTATTATTATTATTATTATCATTATTATCATCATCATCATCGTCATCGTCATCGTCGTCATTGTCATTGTCATTGTCATTGTCATTGTCATTGTCATTGTCATT